TAACAAGCGGGGTGTCCGTGTAGATGATTTGGGTTTTACCTTAGTTGATTTTGGTCGGCTTGGATATCATGATGAACCGTTTATACTTGCATCTCAAGCTAAACAAGTCTTCTATGTTTCCGATCCTATTGATAGTAAGTGGTCAATTGTCTTACAAGGCAAAAGAAGTATTGTTGGTGTTGGTGATGTTGTTGATGAAGAGGAATATGACCAATTTGATGAAACCCCACCATTTTCTATTGGTATTCAACATGTGACTTTAGGTGAAGATAACATTGATACTAATTACATGCGTACTGATCATAAAGAAGGGTTGTGGATTGACCATCCGACAGTATAATTTCAAAAATGTAAACTTATTATTATTTTTTAACATGGTTATATTTTATAAGATGTTCTTTATAACATAGTTATCTTATGCATGTGCAGGTATATATATACATGACTGACGATCACAAAGATTCGGTGGTGGAGGAACCTTCAAAGCAAACAGAGAGCAAAGTGCGTAAAGCAAGAGGAGCTACAACTTGCAGTAAAATGTTAAAGAAGAGACCAGAGGATGAGTCTAAGGTAATTGAGTTCGATGAGAAGAATAGGCCCCTTGGCCCAAATGCAAGGAAGTACTCAAATTACCTTGGCCTTGTGGTTCGTATTCACATAGACATAAACATTAAAAACTGGCGTCTTGTTCCCAGTGCGGTTAAAGATGCAGTCTGGGATGAACTTAAGGTAATAGTCAATAATTTAATTTATATATTGATCATTATTTCCTTTTAGTTTTGGGTTCATTAGTTTATATATGTTAATGTCAATAAAGGCCTAATTATTTCTTATTTTATTGTTGTTATTCAGAAAGAGTTTAATATCCCTGATACAAGAAGAAGTCATGTTTTGCTCCATGCACGGATACGTTGGAAAGATTTCAAAACAAGATTGGTGCGTGACTTCATCAACAAACCGAACGAAAAATATAGCTCTCCCTGTGAGTTATATAAGTTCATGGATGAAAAAAATGGGTGCAATTTGTAACAACGCATGAAACTGAAGCTGCCAAGGTGTGCTACATAATTTACTTGCTTAATAATCATGTATTATTATTATTAACATATTATTAAATAATAAATTTTATTTTTAGGCCAATAGTCAAAAGTATAGGGAGTTGCAAGCGCGAAATGTGCATCCTCACTATTTAGGGTCTATGGGCTATCTTGGAAAGCAGTCTGAGTGGTTGATATGCAAACCATTGTCTTCACAATCTTCTTGTGCTGCTATTACCTCGACCATATCATCTACTGATCGTAGTTTGGATTGGGTTCGAGCGCGATCTAAAAAATCTGAAGATGGAAGTTATTACATTCCCAACGAAAAAACGAAGGGAGTGTTGGATAAAATTGTAAGTAATACAAATACTTTAAATATATATATTATTGACGAGATTACTAGCTAACAAGTAAATTTTAAATATTGTCTGTGTTGAAATATAGGTCGAGAAGTGTGAAGAGATAAGTCAAGGCTCATTCCAACTAAAAAGGCAAAATGATATATTGACTGCAGCTCTTGGCACCAATGAGTACGGTGGATATGTGAGAGGTGTTGGAGTGCACTCCAATATTCGGGATGTGTTTGGTAAACCGGAGAGCATAAGTCGTGGAAATTCAGCTGGGGTTGTTTCAGTTAGTGATATGGAGAAGATCATAGAGAAGAAAATATATGACAAAGTGGCTGAAAAGATTAGAAAAGAAACAATGGAAGATATGCAATCCAAGTTTGATTTAATGCAATCCCAACTTGAATATTTGATGAAGAGTGTACAAGCAAGTCCAAAGGTTAGCACACCAACTCGGAGCAATTGTCATTCTATTGATCAAGTCAACAAACTTAAGGTAATACTGAATATCTTTAATATTTTGAATATCTGATATTCGATCTACTTGTTATTAAGTCTTTTACTTTTGATTCATAGGAAAATCCAAAACAAACCCGAATGATGAATTTTGAAAGTGGTGATCAATCTGCTATACAATTACGACCACTTCTTGTTGATGATGATACACTGCAGCAATTGGGAGATGAATCTAAAAAATTGGTTAGAGATGTTAGAAACTTGCCTTCCGATTTAAATTACATTAACGTGGACCTAGAGGAGGCAGTCTTCCATCATCAAGATGTGGATTTCATTCACGTGATGTTTCAAGATATTAAAGACATGTTGACGTTGCAATGGCTTGATGTGACCATATTACAAATATTTATAATGTAAGTATTTTTTATAATGTTTTTACATTTAAAAACTTTTCTTTAGTCTTTCATTTTTTTTTAATTATCTACATATGTTGTAGATGTCTTAATCGGATGTGCGACAAAATTGGAGTTAATACAAATGGATTGCTCTGCCCAAGGACTATTTGTTGTGACTCTGTACTTGCGGATATTGATAAGGTCACAAAATATCTTGTGAATGCCATGGTTGACCAGAAGGATCGAAACTTCATTTAGCTCCATACCATGAAAAGTAAGAAAACTAAATTTATATTTTTAATTATTTATTTAACTTAATTGCATTATTTGTGAATAACATTTAACATATTTATTTAAATGCCATAGATATCATTGGATGCTTCTAGTTACTTTTTGTTCCATTAGGAAAAGTCTATATATTAGACTCCCGTGCATGTAATTGCGAATTAGAGATTAAGGACACGTTGAATGTGTAAGTACATATATATATATATATATATATATATATATATATATATATATATATATATATATATATATATATATATATATATATATATATATATATATATATATATATATATATATATATATATATATATTTTGAGAATTATTAACCATTATTGTTTATGATTGTATATTATAGGGAATTTCGATTGGTTGAAACTTTAGGAGGGAGAAGACCTAAAAACAACGTTGATTGGACTCACATTGAGGTATATATATCTTTCATATTTCATATTAATATATTTATTGTTTAACATAATAATATATATACATAAAAACTCATATTTTGTAGTGTCCTCAACAACCGGGTGGTGTGGAGTGCGGGTATTATGTGATGAGATTCATGTATGAAATATGCACTCAATGTTGGCATTCTGATGATTTAGATATGGTATGTAAAATATATTAAAAGTAAATAGTTTTAAATTACACTATTAATGTTAAAACTAATTATTTGATTATTTTAAATTTTTGTAGGCATTATTATTTAATAGAAAGCCTTATTCAGAAGAGCAAATTGATGAGATTCGTGAGGTTTGGTCTAAATATTTTACTCAAGAATGTATATAAATTTTTGAACTATGATTTAATTATATTAGTTAATTGTAATGGTGTATTGTCAGTACTTATCTAGCTTATTACATATGTGTTGAAGTGTAGTTTAAATGTGTTGAAAACTTTGAAGTGTTGTGAATTGAATGTATTGAAGTTTAATTTAATGCTAAAGTGTTGGTAATGATGTATTGATGAATGTATTGAAGTGTAGTTTACATGTGTTGAAAACTTTGAAGTGTTGTGAATTGAATGTATTGAAGTTTCATTTAGTGCTAAAGTGTTGGTAATGATGTATTGAACTTTAGTTGAAAGCTTTGAAGTGGTAGTGGCTGTGACTGCATGTACAGGATGAGAATAATATTTTTTGTACAAGAAAAAAACTAGACTTCTTAACAAATTAAAATTAAAAAAAAAAACTATAATTCGCGTCCAAAGTTCTTCAACTTTGGACACGAAATATCATTTTATTAAAAGAAAATGATAAATTGCTTCAACTTTGGACGCGAGATACTGACTTCGCGCGTTCAAAGTTGACCAACTTTGGACGCGCAAAGTTAGTAGTCAACATTGTAATCAGATAAATCGCGTCCAAAGTTCTTCAACTTTGGACGCGATTTATCATTTTGCGCAACCAAAGTAGCTTTGGACGCTGATTGTATATACAATCAGCGTCCCCGACATCTGCGTCTCAGCTAATTTGGACGCGAATTATGTTTTACTTCGGATGCGAATGACTGTTTCTGTACTAGTGATATGAAAAAAATAGCAATCTTAGCCTTTTTTTTTCTCTCTCTAAGCACAATTGTCATTCCCTTATTCAACTTCTATTTGTACTTTGTAATTTATTGGCTAATGATTTTAAATATGAGCAGGAATAGGACAAGTGTTGACTTCTTAGTAGCGGACTGTTGAGTGTTGAATTGTTATATATCTGATTTTTTGTGAACTGTGATGTAACCTTTTATTTGGAGTTTTCCATTTGCCAATTTGGACTTTTGACAATCTAATTTTCCAATTTGTAGCTTTGTAAATTGTAACTTAGTTGTAAGTTGTCACATACTCACATGTGATGTCATTTGTAAGTTAAGTTCACTACCATTTGATCTTTAATAGTTTTGTTTATATTTTTAATGTTTTTCAATTCGAACCTAAACCGAACTCCGATAAAAACTGAACGAACCTGAACAACCAAAATCTGCAGTGATTAATTTATAAAATTAAACGGTTTGGATATAAATATAGTAAACCGAAATCTGAACGTGTCGGCTGTTCATAAATCGAAACTGCCTGAGCCTGTCCGCTGCACAACGCTACTTTGTGGGAGTAAAACTATTATTATATTTACAAAATTATTGTTATTCTTTTCGATTTTTAGTTCATATTGTTACTGTTTCAATTCACATTGTAAATTTTTTTCCTTATATTTTTATATATGTGAAGTGTTTTAAAATGACACCGATTCTCCCGTGAATAATTGTATTGTTTACATCTCAAGAATGCAATACGATAAAGAGAGAGACAATATAATAATTCCTCTAGTACGTAATGTTCACATATGTTTATTTACAACTGTCTCACTAAACATTACAACATCATATTCATGCCTTTTTAAAACCTCACTAAACAACCTCGGGGGAAAACCCAGTTGAGGAAAAATTAAACTACATGATATTTCTGTATTCATGTGGCACAAAAGAAAAATCAATGTGGCGCAGCGGAAGCGTGGTGGGCTCATAACCCACAGGTCCCACGATCAAAACTTGGCTTTGATAAGAATGTTCTGACATTTTTTAAAATACTTCTTACTACATTATATATAGATTGTATTCTGACTACAAAAATAATGGTAGGGGTTATAGCTCAAGTTGTAAAGCACTCGCTTCGCATGTGGGAGGCGTGGGGTTTAATCCCTCACATCTCCAATATATTTGTAAATCTTGAGTAAATTCGATCACGTGAATCATCAAACTAGCAGAGAACACAAGATAGATCAAGTGCACGGGTAATTTGTTGGAGGCCCAATTTGTCTATTTTATTAAACAAACTTGTCGAATATATAATGTATTGTAATTAAATTTGCTGATTTAATTTCATTCTTTCAAGTTTAAACTGACAACTACAATTCGTCAAACAAATATACAAAATAGAACATACAAATTTTTAGTATTGTAACTAAACAATTACGCTTAACAAAAATACAAATTGGCTTCGAATAGAGTAATAGACAAAATCTCAAATGGACCAAATGGTTAATGCCCTTTTGATTTATAATACACTTTATGTATTTTATATAGATTGTATTTTGATTATTACTAGAGCAGGTTCTTCTCTGAGTTCTGCCGAAGCTCTAAAATTGTGGAACCCCTCGTCTGTGTAAAAGATTTGTTAAGAGTAGACAATCACTCAATCTCTGTTGGGCAAAACATGGATGAGGCTGAAAGATTAGAGAAAGGTACAATTTCTAATTTTCTATCCATATTATTTATTTAATTTCTGTCCCAATTTAATTTTCTTAAACTATTTTTTTTTCTTTTTATGTAGAGTTTCCACTGAAGCTGGTTCTTTTCCGAGTTCTGTCGAAACCCTACCAACAAATGATGTTTTTATAAATTTATATATTTTCATTAACACCCTCATTTCTATTTTACCATATGAATATTTTTATTGCTAATCATGTTAGTGTATTTATGTTGACTGTTTAGTACTTTGACCCTTTGAGGCACGCAAACTATTATAAGGCTTAGTGCTAAGTAGCTTGGTAACATTTTTGTAAATGTTGCTGCCCTTAGGCTCTTAGGAACTTAGGTCTTACCCCTTGACTGTTGGACACTTTACACACTTGGCCACCTGGAGTCCTGGACATCTGGAATTATGACTATGGGTTGGTATGTTGCTATGAGTTTTATTCCAAAACTCAAGTAGCAATTTGCTCTGAATTCCACCTTGATATATAAAAAATAAGAATCTTAGCCTCTTTGTTTTCTCTCTCATCACAACTGTCATTCCTTTATTTAGCTTCAGTTTCTACTTTGTACTAGAGGATAAGTGTTGACTTCTTAGTAGCGGACTCTTGAGTGTTGAATTGTTGTATATCTGATTTTTTGTGAACTGTGATGTAACTTTTTATTTGGAGTTTTCCATTTGCCATTTGGACTTTTAACAATCTAATTTTCCAATTTATAGCTTTTTAAATTGCAAAACAGTTGTAAGTTGTCACATGTGATGTCATTTGTAAGTTAAGTTCACTACCATTTGATCTTTAATAACTTAGTTTAGATTTTTTTTAATGTTTTTTAATTTGAACCTAAACCAAACTCCGATAAAAACTAAACGAACCTGAAGAACCAAAATCTGAAGTGATTACTTTATAAAATTAAACGGTTTGGATATAAATATAGTAAACTCAAATCTGAACGGGTCGACTGTTCATAAATCCGAACTACCCGAGCCCATCCGCTGCACAACGCTACTTTGTCGGAGGAAAAGTATTATTACATTTACAAAATTATTGTAATTCTTTTCGATTTGTAGTTCATATTGTTACTATTCTAATTCGCATTGTTAATTTTCTTTATATTATTATATATGTGAAGTGTTGTAAAATGGGACCTATTCTCCCATGAATAATTGTACCGTTTACATCTCAAAAATACAATACGGTAAAGTGAGAGACAATATAATAATTCCTCTAGTACGTAATGTCCACATATGTTTATTTACAACCGTCCCACTAAATATTACAATATCATATTCATGCCTTGTTAAACCTCACTAAAAAACCTCTGGGGAAAACCCTGTTGGGGAAAAATTAAAATACATGCAGATATTTCTTTTTTTATGTTGTATAAAAGTGAAATCAAAGTAGCGCAGTAGAAGCGTGGTGGGCCCATAACCCAAAGGTCCCAGAATCAAAACCTGACTTTGATAAATGTGTTTTGATATATTTTAAAATACTTCTTCCTGCATTATGTATAGATTGTATTTTGACTACAAAAGTAATGGCAGGGGTTATAGCTCAAGTTGTAAAGCTCTCGCTTCGCATGTGAGAGCACTACTGGAAATTATGATATTTCCGACCACCTGAAACTGATCTTAAATCAAGTCAAAATCATTGTTCCGACCACTTTTGGTATCCGGAAAAATCTTTGTTGCTATTTCTGACCACTTTTTGGTATCTGGAAAAACCTAGATTACTTCCAAATGGTCGGAAATTCCATAATTTTCAATAGTGGAGGTGCATGGTTAAATCCCTCAAATCTCCAGTATATTTGTAAATCTTGAGTAAATTCGATCACGTAAATCATTAAACTAGCGGAGAACACTAGACGGATCGAGTGCACAGATAATTTGTTAGAGCCCCAATTTGTCTAATTTTATAATAAACCTGTCGGATATATAATGTACTGTAAATAAATTTACTGATTTAATTTCATTCTTTCAAGTTTCAAAAATACAAATTGGCATCAAATAGAGTAATAGACAAAATTGCAAATGGCCCAAATGGTTAATGCTCTTATGATTTATAATACACTTTTTATATTTTATATACATTGTATTTTGATTACTAGAGCAGGTTCTTTTTTGAGTTCTGCCGAAGCGCTAAAATTGTAGAAGCATAGTCTGTGCACAAGATTGGTTGAGGGTTGCCAATCACCCAATCTCTGTTGAGAAAAACTTGGATGAGGATGAAAGATTAGAGAAAGGTACAATTTCTAACTTTCTCTCCTTTTTATTTTTTTAATTTTTGTCCCAATTTAAATTCTTTGTAACACCCCCCAAACAAGACCTATATAAAAGCCTTAAACACAGGCAGATTAAGCGACAAAACTAGCACAGCGGAAGATAAAAACGAAACTGGATAAAAAAGAAATCCAACGGGGTGTCACGCCACGTCTACCAAACACGGTAAACGCTACAGCAAACAATCTGCAAGTGTACATCTATCCCAAACATCAGTCTATCTAACTACATTGGCGCACAGGCCACAAAAACCACAAAGGTAAAGGAGTTAAGCTACCAGGCTCTAGACATCGCGCTCGTCTAAACATCACCTGAAAGATACAAAGATAAACATGGGAAGACGCCCGGTCAGCGAATAATGCTGGTAACCCACCAATACCGTTAAGTATCATATATAGATAGATATAAGCCATAAAACCATTTTCGAAACGGAATACATAAGTATATAAGTTAAAAGCCAAGATCAATAATTAACACAAGACTCACCACTCACAAAGATAACACCGGGAACACATCCCAAACCACAAAGGTTAACCACACGCAAGGATAAAGACTCACCCAACGGGAACACATGCCAAACAACAAAAGCCTCCGTGACTACACACGTCACGAGAGAAGATTACACAACGCCGGCTTTACAAGCCCTCGCAACACCACCCATCACGAGTTGGTATGCCTGCCTTATGCCTTGTTCCAACCTTATGGCTACCCCCAACCTTGTATCTTCTTTCCAACCATTACCTCCAGGAACCCCTGTACTTCTTAGTCCAACCTTTTCCCTCCTGGGACCGTCGTCCCCCACCAACAGACCACCAACAAAACCACCAATTTCACACACATGGCGACACACGCCTTACCCAAGAAATACGTGAACCTGACACACAGGTCACACTCCATAATCACATCACGGCCACCACGAGGACCGCTGCAATACCTTGGTGACTAGTGTCCCATACCACTAATCGTGCAATCCAGGTAAAACCACACACACCACACCTCAACAGGAATCAATCAAAGGATTGCAATGAAGGTATGAAACATACTTAATCAAGGAACGGGTCACAGCCCAACAACATCAATGATGAATAACACAAGTTATCATCAACCAAATGGAAGGTACAAACCACACACACGCTAGTATTAAGACAACGGACTAGCATGCTTAACAACGGGGAAACTCAAGATAGTTCCGAGGAACACACAAGACACCTCTTGGTCCAACGAAACACAATGTTGAACACTTAGCACGATTCAAGACACCAAAGTCCTACATGGATACCTACCATATAGTTCTAGACCTACGAAACATCAAGAAGACGCTCAAATAGTTCCACACAAGAACATCGGGAAGCCAAAAGATCAAATACCAAGACAAAAAAATCACGGAGAACAAATCCCGAACGAACACCATCGTGTTCCCCGCGGGTGGACCCACGGGTAGTGCCCCACCCGTGGTCCCGCCCGCGGGTACACTACCCCACAGGCCTATGTATCCGCGGGTAGGCCGGCGGGTGGTGCCCCGCCCGCCGTTCCGCCCGCGGGAACATCCCTGTTCCACAACAAATCCCTTTGGGGATTTTCTTCTCCAAACACAAATTCAAGTCCAAAACATGCCAAATCTCATCCAACACAACAAAATGACTTGAACCATGGAAAATGCCAAGCAATGGCACAAAGGAACCCTAAACACAAGCTCTAGATATGCAATATCACAAGATAAATGCATAAACCCTCACATTTCATAGCAAAACAGAAGTAGAATCCAAGAAATCACATATAGGTAAGCAAAATAGGTTTTGTAGAGCATGGGTTACCTCTTGAAGACCAAAAGACTTCACTTTACACCACAACAAGCTCTCCACTAGGCTCACTTTCCAAACCCACTTCAAGATAAAACCAAAAGATCATAAAGATGCTACCTTTAAGAAAAAGACAACTAAGATGCAACCAAAAACACAAGAAAAGCTTAGATCTTACCCTCCTAGATGCCCAAATAGGTGAAAGGTTGAATCTTGGAAGCAAAACTTGGAAT